CGCACTCTTGGTTCCCAGCCAGCCTTGCTCTCAGCTCAAGGTTGTGGGGAAGTCTCCTGCCTTGACTGTGCCTGTGAAAAGCAAGCCTTGAAAAGAAAGTTAAATGTGTGTGTTTTTTTTCCTTTTTGTGTTCTCTGGGTCTGAAAACAATTTAGCCATCTAGTCTTGGTTTCATAAAGACAGAGAAACGGATTATTGAAACAAAATAGTATCCAGGAAAAGACCAGACATTACAGTCAATGGATTTTCAACCTAAGTGCCAAAGCAGTTCAGTGAGAAAGGGATCATCTGGATCAATTAAATTGCCAGAGGCAAAAAGCTGAACTTTGACCTTTGTTTCCCACCATATACAAAGTTTACTTGAACTAGATCATCAAAATGTATAAACTAAAACTTCTAAATAAACACATAGGAGAAAATCTCAGTGACCTTGGATTTGGAGAAAGTGTCTTAAGGCTGATACCAAAAGTTCACATCATAAAAGGAAAAAATCAATACATTGGATTTTATCAAAATTTAAAACTTCTGCTCTTCAAAGGACATAGGCTTGAAAATAAAAAGGCAAGCCACAGGTCGGGATAAAACATTTAGAAGATAGAACTAACAAAAGACTCATTTCTGAAATTTTAAAAAGAATTTTAAAGATTTATTTTATTTATGTATAGAAAAGCTGGAGTGCAGGCCAGAGGTGGGGGACGGGTGAAAGGATTCACAGGAGAGCAGAGTGGGGAGCAGAACAGGCAGGCAGATTAACTGAAATACACTGTGGAGGGGAGCAGCGGGTGAGACAGGAGGAGAGGTCTGCTGTGCCCTGCGGGTCTGCTCCCTAGTGGGGGAATCTTAGCTGCAGTGGCTGTGGACAGCTTCCTCATGCTGACACTTAACAACTTGGGCCACCAGGGGAACCCTAGACTTTTTTTTTTTTTTTTAACTCTTACAATTCCCAAGTTTTTTAATGGGCAAAGATTTGAATATGCTTTTCTCATGAAGATACAGAGTTGGTTAATAAGTACATGAGAACTTGACCAATGTCAGGGAAATCCTAGTTAAAACCTGTGACTGTACTCCTACTAGTATGGCTAAAATGTAAGAAACTGACCACCTACTTGTTGATGAGGATGTCGTGAGGAGCTAAACTCTCAGGCCCGTGGGAACAGTCAGAGGTACAAGCATACTAATACATACCCAGTTATCCCACTCAAGAGAAAAGAGAGTGTGCACCCACACACACACTGGCACAGAGATCAGAGCAGCTTTACTTGTAGGAGTCAATATAAACCATACAATTCCACACACGTAAAATTTTAGGAAGATGTAAACTAATCTTTCTTTACCTGGGGATAGGAGTAGAATGGGAAGGGGTGGAGTGGGGATATTACCCAGAGATTCCAGGAGTAATGGATGTTCACTATCCAGAAATTAGTGATGGCTTACAGGTGTGTTCATATGTCAAAATTCAAGTTATACATATATGTTTCAAGTTATAAATATGTTTCATTATATATCAGTTATAGCTCAATAAAGTTGTAAAAACAAGTTTTTCAGAAAAGGCAAGATAAGTATGGTGTAGCTCTAAATAACACAAATAGGGAGAAATGTAAATGGAATATTTTATCACAGTATAATTATATTGGGACAATGGAAAGTATGTGTGGATTTATAGGAGGGGAAGATAAGGAGAAAAGTCCTATTTTCCATCATGAGAATTCAGTGAAACCTAATTAGGAAGAACCAACACAAGCATATTATTTAGGGACATGGAAGTAATACTACAAGAATCAGCTCAAAGTGCCAATCTCTGAGAAGTGGGTGCTAACACATGAAGAACTAATTAGCTTTCTAAATCATGTGAAAGTTTAACTTTAATATAAGTTAAAACTTGTTCATGTATTATCAGTACCTTGAAGTTACAGCCCCTGGTGTACCCAGTTAATGAAGGGGCTCTTTGCCCACTGCACCTCCAGACTCTACTAGATTCTCAGAGCAGAGGCTGGGGGACCAGTGTATGTTTGGGGCGGGGAGGGTGTTCTTCAAAAGACCAAGTCCCAGATTTGTTAAGGAAATCCTTTTAAATGCTAGCCAGACAGCTTTGTACAACTCTAGTCAATCCCTTAGGAACCTGATTGGAATTTACACTGTGCTTACATTAAGAACTGCCCAAATTCTCCTTTCATTTCTCTCATGATATAACCCACAATGGAGATATTGTGGAGGCAAATTCTTGCCTCCAAGCCAGGGGAATTGTAAGCCTGATGAACCTATTGAGTCTCATTTTTCTTATTCTTTTTTCAGGTGGTCACTTCTTTCATCGAAACTCTTTGTCCCCTCGGAGTCTGGTATATGAAAGTGAATTCTCTACCATCGAACCTTCTTTGGACATGTATGATGAGAACAAAACCTGATTTTTTTCAATGGGCTGCTGGAGCTCACTTCCTTTGTGATTTGATTTATGATCACTTTTCTTATTTTGTATTCTGTCAGCATTCGTTTTTGGAAGAATCGCAGCGCTTTCCAAGAACAGGTTGGGATTCAGGGTTAAATTGCAAAGCTCCTCCGAGACAAGCCTTTGCGGACAGTGGTGTTGTTGCCCAGGTATCCCTGTGGCACTGGAAATTGTCTGAAGCTGGCCAGTGAATGTGGACACCCCACAAGCCTGATACTTCCAGAAAAGATGCAGGGCCCAGGGGGTTCCCGTCACATTGCAGGTGTGCCTCTGAATAATCACACGCTCTTGTGCATGGGCGCTGGTTTCTCAGGCAGCCTCTGTGTGCCCCACTCATCTTGCACCTGAACACTGCAGGCGCGGCTGCACCTGCTCCGGAGTGGCCCACTCTGTTTTCCCTAGCTGATACTCTACTTTCTGTTAAAGCCCTCTTTCTAAAGACTCCTGAAAGTCTTGACTCTTTTTCCCTCTACTGCTACTGGTCATGGAGCACACCTGGAGGGGCTGCAGGCTGGGCAGGACAGGCACCTGTCCTCTTGTCTCTTCCCAGCCTCCCTCGGTGACCATGGTATAAAGTGACTATTGTTTATGTGACCACTGAAATGCTGAAGGCCCTGTGCCCCAGGCCTGTGGATTTGTCTTCTTTGCAACTGCTGAGAGGTTAAGGGAAGAGGAGGCACCTTTGAGGCCAATCTGGCTGTCTCCTTTGGATACAATGACCTGGGGTGAGGGCCAGCAAGTGTCAAAATCAGAATGATTCTGCCTAACTTCTTGAGAAGATGGAACCACCTCCTTGCTGCTAGATACCAGATAAGCACCCCTGTTTTGTCTTCACCTAGTCCCTGTCCATCAGCCTTAGCATCATCATGAAGAAGGCATGGAGCTTACAGAAAAGGATATGGTGGCAATGCAGTAGACATCATGGACACATATGTTCTTTCCCATAAATCTGGGATGACACCAAGTCAACATCACCAGAAACATGTATCTGAAAAGTAAGACCAAACAGAACCAAAATGAGCAAATTTATAAAACAAACGGACACATCCTGTTTGCTCCAGTAACACAGTAGTCCAGCCTGCTCCTACTGACTGATAATGAGCCCCATGGAAGAGTAGATGCACTGAGATGCTTGTGTGAGAATGGAAACTTGAATCTCTGTATGTCCAGAGAGCAGACCGTGTCCACACATGATTCCCCTATCCTGTGGTTTCTGTCAACTGTAGAACACAAATCTGAAGTGAGCGCTGCCATTTTTCCATGTCTTCCCAGCTTCTCTCATAGCGTCTCCTGTCACGTGTTGTGAAGATGCCTCAGAAACAGTTGTGCCCAAACAACACCCTCAGAGAACCAGGGTGATGACAGCATTAGGAACATCACCTCAGAGTGACCAGCAACATTTCATTTTTAATTATTTGAGGCTGGAACAGTGCAGGTTTTTTAAGGTCTTAGCAGTTTTTTCTTTTTTACTTTTAACTAAGGGCTTTTGTTGTGTTTTTTTCCTTTTCTTTTTTATAGTCTTTGTACTATAAAAATATTTTTGATAGTTTCAGGAGAGCACTGTTCAGAAAAACACGTTCACCCCGCAGGCTTTGTCGTGACAGAAAGCATAACACTGAGATCATCCCTGGCGCCAGAAGATTCCACACACACCTGCGATTCTGCTTGGTCTGGTTGGGCTGACTGGCCGCCACCCAGCTCTGACCACGCGATGGCTGCTCCATGCCCTTGTTTTAGTGAAGCACAACTCGGAACCCACCACAGCCTTCCTTCCAATGTGCGCAGTCTTAGAAAAGACTTTATACGTTTATAGAACATATAGGCATACACATTCACTTTCACCTGAGACAGCCCTTCATTAAGAAGGAATGAACTTACTTGACAAGAAATTTAAAAGTTCCAGACCTCTAAGAAGTTAATGTAATATTAAGTACCAAAAGAGTACCAAATAGGCGCTCCTTCTTAATTTCTGGTATATCTAGGGCACACGTTCATTGTGAAGTAACCAAGGAGGCATGTCTTACAAGGAAATGCACGCAGAGCTTCAGACAGAACTTGATAACCTTTACCCAAGAATTGAGGCCTCTTCCCCATTCAGCTACAGAATGCCCTGCATTTGTCAGGAGAGCCACTCCTCTGTGAAGGTCATGTACTTCAGGAATAGCAAAGGTGGTATGATTTGTTCCAAATAACAGCCTCTTTTCAGGCAGCTGTGCTGAGCAGAAAGTCTCTGCCCAGCCACCCCAGAAACCCTGGTGGGGGTAGGTTGTGGGGAGCCAGTGCTCATTACCATGCACCCCCCTACTTCTGAGAAGCTGGAAATTGGGAGCAGGCATGGTTGGGGCACAAAGAGGTGCTCTTTCAGTATCTAAGCACCTCAGTTGTTGAACATCATCTTATAGCAATTGCTAGCCAGATGTATGATAATCTTCGATTGTTTTCCTGAAAGCCAGAGGGTTTTTTGAATGTTGGAAGGGGAAAGGAGTGAGCTACTTATGCACAAACCCTTCTTCCAGTGGACTGCCCTGAACTGGGTCTAGCTCCAGCTTTTCCCAGCAACACGCACTGTAGGGTGGATGCGCATGGAAAAGAGCCCACACAGCCAGTACCATCCGCTGGCTGCCCGGCTGTCCAGTAACCACAGTTAAAAGGGCATAGACTTACAGTTGGTGATTTTTAACTTTCTAACAGAAGAGCTGCCCATAACCTTCCTTTCCTGCTGTTTCAGAGATGGGGAGGAGCCATCTTGCAGAGGTCAGACTGAAAGCCGCTCACTCTTGGTGGCAATGGTTGGCAGAGTGTCCACACTGCCTGCCTCTGTGGCCTCAGGGGAAGGCAAGCTCTACTACCAGGTGGTTGGTGGTTAAGAACACCCTGCTTTTTAAGAAAGCTGCCATCTCCTGGCCCCTTCTCAGTGACTCAGAGCAATGTCCAGATGGCACTACCCTGAACACCAGTTTGCACACATGGCCAAGCCTGTACATGCCAGCTGCCCCAATGCACGCAACAACCCAGCTTCCAGAACATTCTGTTGGAAAAGAGCTAAACAAAATAAGGTCACTAAATTTATATTTCCTATGGGCTTTTATAAGCTCTTCTCCTATTTTAAATTCTCATACTGAGTTTATTCCTTTAGCTACTTGCTAAATGAAATTAGTTTTAACTGACAAAAAATCAAAATGTGGTCTGGCTATGAAAATCAAAATAAAGGTCTGTTAGCCTTTATTTAGGTAGTAGTTTGCTAGAGGAAAACAAGCAGGTGATATTAATCTCAGGTCGCCTTGACAGATGCCAGAATGTCATGAGACAAAACAGTTTGGTAAATAAATAAAATTTAAAAGGAAACAGGTAGGATCCTCTGGCCAACCTTGTCAACAAACCTTTATTAAATTCTCACCATGTGCCAACACCGGTTACCCTTGGAGTGCAGGTGAAACCAGTGATGGTTAGGATTTGGACGGTTAGAGAAAACTGGTGTGTTAACAACCAGTGGGGACTTGAGACCCACGAGATGAGGGTACGTGGTGCAGAGGAGGGTTTTCTAGGGGAGATAGATAGGCACAGTCTGGCCAAGAAGGCGACACATTCAGTGAAGACAACCCGAGTGGAGGGCGAGACTGACAAGGGCTTGGGTTCCACTTCCTGGGTGGGAAAGCTTTGCTGTGGCCCCCGGTCTCTGTTTAGAAAGAGAATGATCTGGGGTAGGGATGGGCAGGGAAGGTACCAAAATACCTGGTGTAGGACCTGCCTTTGGAGCCAGGGCAGAGGAGAGAGCTTTGTACTGACTTTGAGGTCTGACAGTGGAAATGAGAGAGCCACAAGATTGAAGTGGAAGCCCAAGTGCTCACCTGGGTGATTGGGTGGGAGTTAGCGGGACCTAGAGGAGCTTCGTGGGGATACTCAACGTCTGGGGCTGGCAGGGCCTCTGCATAAAGGCGGAGATGTAGCTGTGGATCTGAAGCAGAAGTTTGGTGAGTGAAGAGGTCTGATGTGAGCCCTCTGTGCAGCAGGATTCCTGGGAAGCCGGGGCCCAACTGCGTGCTGCCTAGCCCTCCCCATAGGATCACAGCCTCCACGGCATCACAGGTCCTGTGCCACAACGCTGCTGCCTTTCCTCTCTGCTGCCCCACACAACACTTAAAGGCCAGCACTCCAGGCACGTGTATTATCCTCTGTGTACACGCACTGCGCTTAGAATCTCCCCAGGTGGTTGTCCAGAGAGAATTCCTTTAGTTCAGATGATGGCAGAAGCCAGAGTGGGGTTGAACTTGCCTTGTGACATGGGAATGAGGCTTGGGATAAAGCCCTAGGGACTTACTAAGTTTTGGATGTTAGGAGCAACCAATTTAGAAAAACTACTAGTGTGCTTTTGCTTTTGGAGGAAGCTGGCACCGCCTCTCCACCATGCCATACTGGCTGGCTGGCCTCCGCTCACTCCAGGAAATAGAGTGGGTGACTGAGCTCAGCTCAGCATTCAGTATCAGCTCCCGAGAAAGGCATCATTATCAGGAGCTGACCCTTGTGATGCCTACTGCTGAAAGAAAGTGTGTTCCCTGTTAAGGGAAGGGTTTGCAAGGGAAGTATGTCTGGTTTTGCTTTTTCTTTTGGCTTTGTTGCTAAATCATTCCAAAGGCCAAAGAGAAAAGGATAAATGTTGAGTATACATGTTCACATGACATCCATGGTTATGGATGGGATTCTTTCTATAGGACCAGAGAACACCTTAAATATTTTAAGTATCTTAACATCAGAAGAAATAAAGACAGAAGGAGTGGGAGGGAACGTGTCTGTTTGCTGGTGGAATCCCACTTTCCTTACTGTCCTGCAAAACAGCAGGCAAAGCAGTATGCGGACTCCACAATCCTGGGCCCTAGGGGATTTCCCCCAGAGGCCATGTCTGCAGCTGGACTCCTCCTTCCTCTGGGGCTATGAGGTCAGGAGCCATCTTGTGGCCTTAGGTCTCTTCCGAAGGTTGAGTGGGGAAGTTTGCTGTCTTTCTCAGGGCTGTCTGGGAAGATCCAAAAGAAGCCGTGAAGAAGAGAAGGCAGGTGCACCCACAAGCCGTGAAGAAGAGAAGGCAGGTGCACCCACAAGGATGAGTCACCTGCTTTCTCAGGTGCTAAGTCCCACCACCCTAAGTGACTGAACAAGTGCTGCAAGCTACTAAGAAGCAGACATGTCAATGCCCAAGATGAGGCTCTCATAGCCCCGCAAGGGCCCTTAGGGTGCCCAGGCCAAGACCTGGAATTTATCTGGGTTTTCCCTCTTGTAATCCACCCTAGCTAAAACTGTGTTTTCTGTCTTCTTCAGCTCTTACTTGGGGAAGAAGGAAGATACTTTATGACAAGACAAAAAAAAAAACCTTTGACTTTCAAGCAACTTTAGTATTAAACTTTCAGAAGAATTGAATGCTGCTGGAGTGGCTCAGAGCTCTGCCCTGGGCATTCCTACTTCCTCCCATTGACCCTTCCACATGCATGTCCCAAGTGAGATAGACGCCTGAAATGGCACAGACCTGATGTACAAGCTGGCAGGCGTGACCTGGGTGGTGCTCAATAATAGGCAAATTCTCATCCTCATTTTCCAACTCTGCTGCTTCTAGAAACTGTCAGGGGTTACAGGTAATTGTTCTGAGCTACTTTTTACAGATTTAACCCAACATAAAGTAAACTCTGATTTATTTTGGAAGTTATCCATCATTCAGTACAATTATGCTATGTGATATTAAAGGGCTTTTCTAGTTGCTGACAGGTACTGAGCCAAGATGATTGTGAAAAAGGGGCCAGGGGTTGTTGGACTAGCATATCCCAGGACATTTCTCTCCCTTCAAATAAGTAATCTTTTCCTAAGCAGAAAGGCTAATCAGTTTCCTACTGAATGCCAGGATGCTATATGGAGACCAGTCACTAGGTATGGCCAGAGCCAAGGTGCCAGCCTAAGATGCCATGCCACTCTAGAGAGAAACAGAGAGGTCTCTGAGTTTCTTCATCCCCTGGAAGCCATGGCCTGTCTTGCTGACCTGACTAGAGGAAGGGGACTTTTGGCTGATGTTGAGGGCTAGAATCTGGCATCCTGTGCTGACAATGGAAAGCAGGGTCTATACCAGAGTGGCCATTACTCTTGTCTAGGGAAACTTGACCAGTGTGGAATATCTGGGGTATGGAGAACACCATCACCTAATATATCAGTCCTGTTCCTGTACCTCAGGAGGAGGTACAGGAGGCCAAACCCTAGGCCACATATGTCACAATTTTTTTGACCCTTAGTAGCTTTTATACTCATATAAAATATTAAAGTTGCCCCTTTCATATTTGGATCACTCAAAGAGCTCCTCGTATTCTGGATTCCTACTAACTATGCACAACACTTCAGAGGATGGCATACGAAACTATTTTTCTAACTATATCACAGGTAATTTGGGGTGGGGGAGGCTTGGGATATACCTAAATATGGCAAGTGACTTATCTACCACCTTGAGGAATGAATGGGAAACTATGCACTTGAATTTTCATTCACCATTGGATAGCTTGTGCCAGAAAGAACACATACCAAATATCCAAAAGAAAAATTGGTCATTAGCTTAATTTCAGGGGCTCACTGTAGGGGCAGTAACCCTATCTAGAATAAAGATACCTGCAAGTAGAATGTGAGCTGATTTATTGTCAATCAGATCTTCTAAGCCCATTGAAATGGTCTGGGCAGCACAACTCTTAGGTCCACATGGTTGATGTAAGTATAATTAAGTATAATTAAGTGAAATTTATGGTATATACCTATATGCTGATAGTGTATACCTATATGTGCGCAATTTGCTAATATAATCATTTCAATAAAAACGTATTTAAAAAGATGGTTTGGCCACATGGAGTACTGTTCATACATCAGTGAGGACATTTTTGGCTGCAAGCAACAGAAACCCAATCAAAAGTGACTAGGCAAAAAGGAAATATAAAAGATGGTTTATAAAAGATAAGATGCTGTGGGTATGCATGGTTTGGTCTTCAAACACTAGGACGCAGTTGCCAGTTTTGCTTCATCCAGGTAAGCTCCATGCTCAGGCTCAGGGTGGTGGTAGCTCACCAGCACAAGAGCTAGTCTATGGAACCCAGTCCAGAAAGGCATCGCCTTCGCCCTGGTGGCTTGGTTAGAAGTACATAGCCATCGAGGCAGACCTCTCCTGACCCGCCCACTGCTCCCCTCAGCAGTGTACTTCGTTGATCTGCCTGCTCTGCTCCCCGCTCTGTCTCTGGTGAATCCTCTCACCCTCCGCATCTTTGGCCTGTACCCAGTTCTGTATGAATAAATAAATAAATCTTCAAAAAAAAAAAAAAAAGAAGTACATAGCCACCATGGAACCAACCACTGTGATCACAGAGAAAGATGCAATGATGGCCGAAGCCGGCCTGAGTTCTAGTTCTGCATTCCAGGAGTGCATTCAGCTTTAGCTGGAGACAGTTCTGAGCAGTGGTTCCCCCAGCAAAATCAAGATGCAGCACAAGGAGAAGTGGATGTTGAGGCAGTAAATATCCAACATATGTAAAAAAGACAAAATGGTGTAGAACCACCAAAAATGGGGAGCCACCTCTGTTATTGTTACATGTTACAACATAGATAAATCTTGAACACATGGTAAATGAAAGAAACAGGACACAAAGGGCAACCGGTGTGATTTCATTTCTATGAAATATTCACTTATTAGCATGCACTTGGCAAATCACTTCAACTGTCATGAGTTCAGTTTTGTAGCCTCTAAAGTAAGGATCATAAAATACTCAGTGAAAGTATGGGGATTAGATTTAAAATAGTGTTAAAAGTAGGCTTAATATCACAAATCCAATAATTATCTAATATCCAAAATATGTAGATAACTCTTAAAATTAATTTTAAAATTTCAATATAAAAGTGGGCAAAGAACAGAGGCATTTCTCCAAAGATAAACCCATAGCCATCAAGCACATGAAAAGATGCTCAATATCACATGAGAAAACTACATCACGTCCTCTAGTTAGGAGGACTATAATTAAAAAATAATAAACAAGATACAGAAAAATTGCAGCCCTTGTACAATGCAGTTGGGAATGTGAAATGGTGTAGCTACTTTGGAGACAGTTTGACAGCTTCTCAAATAAGTTAAACATAACTTTTACCATATGAGCTTAAAGCTGCATTCCTATGGATATACCTAGGAGAACCAAAAACATATTTACACAAAACATCTATGATGCAGGTGTTCACAGAAGCATTACTCAATGATAGCCAAAATCGACAAACAACCCAAAATCCACCAAAAGATGAATGTATAAACAGAACGTGACCTATATCCATAAGTGGAATATTCATTCATAAAAAGGAATGAAAGTATTGATATAACAGATAAAACTCAAACACATGGTAAGCGAAAGAAACAAGACAAGAAGAACCACATATTGTGTGATTTCATTTATATGAACTATTCAGAATGGGTAAACCTATTGAGACAAAAATAAAATAGTGGTTGTCAGGGACCAGGATAGCAAGGGAATGACTGCTAACAAGTAAGAATTTCCTTTTCAGGGTGACAAAAAATAATCTGGAATTAGTGGTTAGTACTGCACAATTTGTGAATATACTAACAGTCATTGAATTTGCACTTCAAAAGGGTGAATTTAATGGACTGTGAATTACATCTCATTTTTTAAAGTGAATGAGTCTTAGTACAGCCTAAGTGCTCAATAAATGTTAGTTTTTTTCCTTCTTGTAAACATGGTTCTCAAGAAGTGATCTCCAGGCCAGCAACGACGTCAGCTAGAAATGTGCTGTTATAAATGCAAATAGTGGGTCTCAGCAATGTGCTATAACAAACCCTGCAGATGATTCTGATGTACATTCCTGATTGAGACCACTTGGATGAAAGAATTAAATAACCCTTTACCACGGTGTTAAGACTTCCAGTTTCATTAGGATTGATTTCTATCCAGAGAGCACACAATGAAACATGTTCACTTCAAGCTCCCATGGTCTTCAAGAAAACCTGCCTTTACAGCATTTCAGGCTTTCCAGCACTCTGGCTTGTCGAGCATGCAGCTTTTTGCACTTACACCTATCATATTAAATTCCTGAATGCCAGAGACATTGAACCCCAATTCAAAATCAGTTTAAGTTTCACAATATGATTCTAAAGTGCCCCTTTCCTTCTTTCCTCCTGCTAGATCCTGGAGGGCTTGCCTGGAAGGTGATCCCGGACATCCCCAGGTGGAGTTAGCAGCTTCCCTTGTCCCTCAAAGGGGTCAGTGTTTGGTCAGTGAGGGGTCTGACCCCTACTGGTCAGTCCTAAGAGAGCAGGGGTCCATCTTTCCCCAAGCCAAGTGTCTCATGTCCGTTCATTAGCAGAAACCTCCTCTGGTCCCACAGCTGGCCCTGCTCTAGACTCAAGACCACCTGTCCCTATTGTCCCCATCTGTCAGGTGAGGTGACAACACTGATTTCTAAACCGCGCCTGCCTCATGGCACCCTGATAACCTGTCCTAGGCTCACGGAGGTTTGGTCCTAGTGTGAAAATTCTGGGAATTATCATCACCCACCCCCTTTCCAGCCGCCTTTTACAATGTTAAGAGGCGCTGGCCTATCCAACACGACCAATCAAAGGTGTATATACTGTTTCTTTTCATTGTCCTGCAAGGCCTGGGCAGGTAGAAAAAGGCGAGGGGCCTGCCCAACCAGGTCTCTACTCTGCCGTTCCGGGAAGAAACCCGTGACCGCGGGTGAGCCGGTCCCATTTCTCCTCGCTGAGGCTGCACAGCCACAGCCCGGAGCTAGGAGGGCGAGAGGGAGTCAGACGTGCGGGGCTGGCAGGGCCGTGGCCCGAGGCGGCAGCGGGCCTGGAGAGCCTGCGCCGGCCCGCAGACCCGGGCCG